TTTATAATATTATATTTATATTAATATTATATCTAATATAATATAATATAATATTGTTATTAAATATTAACTAAGTTAGTTTTTTAAATATATTAAAAATAGTATTATATAATTAATGTATAATTATATAGTTTTATTTGTAAATCATATATTAGAAATAATTCTAATTCTTGTGTTGTGCTTAAAATTAATATTTATTTTTATTTATAAAACTTCATAGTTTATTATTATATCAAGTCTAATATTTTTCTTTTATAAATTATTTCTTTTAACATTTTTATTGCATAAGTTAGAATTATATGAAGTTATATAAGAAAATTTCAAAACTTATTAATGCAGTTACTTGATTGTATTAAAAAAGATATATTTAATTTATAAAATTAATATACAAATTGTAAATATAATTAATTTTTTTATATAAATAAAATTTTATCTTCATACATAAGAAAATATTAAAGATATTCTACATATTCAATTAGTATATTAAGTGTATTTATTTTTAATAAATTTTTGAAGATATATTATAAAAACAAAATTACTTATATATTTTTTTATATATGTTTTAATAAAATTAATTGAATGAAAATAATAATGGAAAAAAATTTAATATCATTTTTTCATAATAAAATTAACAATTTATTCTCCTAAGACATATCCTCGTCCCCAATTATGACCACCAAATGTATTTCTAGTATGTTGAATCTGCGATCTTTGTATAGGTACAGATCCAAACCATCTAATATTACCTCTTTGAGGTGGAAAATAAGATTCAAGAATTTTTGGAGTATTCAAAAGCTCAAGTCCACCAAGTTCTTGAGGATATTTAAATTTTAAAAATACATAAAGATGTCCCACTAAAATACCAAAAAGTTCCATCATACCACCTCCAGATATAATAAGATTAAACGCAAACAATACCCATGGGAAATATATTGCTTTAAATGATGTACCTGTTATAGAAACATAAAATTAATAGATTAAATTAAAAATAAAAAAATATTCAAATTTAGTAGTTTTATTTATAAAAAGATATATTTACCAAACCAGAAATTAACAGTAGCATCTTTATTTAATTGACACCAAACATATAATATGCTAAGTACCATAGGATCCATAAGAAAATGAAATTCACCAATAAGTCCTATAATAACGCAGCACATCCAATTAAATAAGAGTAAAAAACAATAATCTGCTGGCCTTCCATCATATTCTCCACGTTCTAACCTCAGCGAATAATTATATAAGAAATAACAATTAATCAAAAAATGAAAGCCTGTACTTGGATTAAGAGGATAGAAAAAAACACTGGTTGCTGCTCTCCAAATTTCAAAATTGTTTATGAAGCGATCATTTATAAGTATTAGTGAGGTCGGATTTATTAGTCCGAATCTTCCTACTAATGTACAAACTACTGTACATAATAGCCAATATCTTGTGAAAATTGGTAAAGAATTAAACCAATTTCTCACATCCGACATTTTTATAATTCTTATATTAATACTACAATTAATATATTATCAGATTATGCACATAAATAAGTATAATTCACTGACAATGTATGACGTGTATTATTTAGTGACTACGTAGATTAGGTTAGAACACAATACATAAAAATAACAAATATGGTGTAAAATATATTTTATTCTATTTTTTATATATTCTATATATTTTTTTCTTTAAATATTTTTATAATAATATTTAAAAATGAAAGAATATAACAAAAAATTTTGAATATATCAAAAGATATTTTAATAAGAAATAAATATACAAAAAATTGTATAAAGAAAATTTTATATAATTTTTAATATTTC